GAAACGGCAACTACACCACTTGTTTACATCAGAATAAGGGTTTTTCCGAAGACTACAAATCAAGAAGACTGGCAACTGTTCCCTTTTCCCATATAAATGTCAAACGTCACTGATAACAGCGCCTCTCTCAATCAAAGGTGGAACTTTGAAGCACAAGTGTTGGTGAGACTGCTCATTAACAGTGACTGTGTGTGTGACCTAATGTCACCGAAACGAATAATCATAACACGGTACTTGTTATTGTTTTTGTTTTGCTCTACACAATTTCACGGCAATTTGTATTCTAATCCCAGCAAGCCGGTGATTTTCCAACTCCAAACCGAAAAACTTGTCATGGTGGATCAAGTAGAGGATTGAAACTCGGATCGATACCTAGTGGAAGTAACTTTTACTTGTGAACGAGGAACCGAAATATTGTTTATTTTGCCTGTTGGAAGGAATATATAGTAAGGAATTGGTAGCTTCCACCACCATTGAGTGAACTACCGTCATTCGGAAGCTGCTGAAAATTCTAGGATTCAAAAAGAAAAAGATCCTATACCTATATCACGATCCAACGGAAGGCGTAGCAGGATCTAATGTTGCAGGAAATGAAAATGAAAGGTTGAAGGACTACAATCCTAAACGGTACTTATTGACAAAGAATATATTTCCATTTTAGATGTTGTCAGAACATGAATCCACCGGATAGTGATCCTCTGTATGCTTTCACAATTCTTGGAATCGACCGACCCCTTCCAAAGAATGATAACAACAGTGTCTGATTGGCCAGTGACATTCAAATGGTCAGCGAGTACTGTGCTAAGTTGCCGAGCGTCACAACTTAACTCCCCAGCTGTGGCCAGGTGTCAAAGCCGTGCGGAACGGGCATGTATTTTACTAAAGGGTGATAACGGTCAAAATTTGGTCAAGGGAAAACGCGTGTAAATCGGTGAAATCGTTTATTTAAAAAATCAAATTAAATTTCTTTTTCAAGTTCAATTAGTATAAAATTCAGGAAAAATATTCAGTTAGGCTTCCGCTTTTCCAAATCCGAATTGCCGGGCCTTACGCTTGACCCCTGCCATCAGATTTTTTACAGCTACCTTGTCCACCTTCTTCGCCGCAGAAAGCCAGTTTGCATTGAACTGCTGCTCACCCTTAGCAGTTTTTTTGGTCTTCTTTAGGTTCCGCTTGACAATAGCCCAGTATTTCTCAATTGGGCGGAGCTCTGGCGTGTTGGGAGGGTTCTTGTCCTTGGGAACCACCTGCACGTTGTTGGCGGCGTACCACTCCATGGCCTTTTTACCGTAATGGCAAGATGCCAAATCCGGCCAAAACAGTACGGAAGAACCGTGTTTCTTCAGGAAAGGCAGCAGACGTTTATTCAAACACTCTTTCACGTAAATTTCTTGGTTGACAGTCCCGGAAGCTATGAAAATGCTGCTTTTCAAGCCACAGGTACAGATGGCTTGCCAAACCAGATATTTCTTTGCGAACTTTGACAGTTTCATGTGCTTGAAAACATCTGCTACCTTTCCCCTTCCTTTTGCCGTATAAAACTCTTATCCCGGAAGCTGCTTGTAGTCGGCTTTGACGTAGGTTTCGTCGTCCATTACCACGCAGTCAAACTTCGTCAGCATCGTCGTGTACAGCCTCCGGGATCGCGCTTTGGCCGTCGTATTTTGTTTATCATCGCGATTTGGAGTCACTACCTTCTTGTAAGTCGATAGTCCGGCTCGTTTTTTGGCTCGATGCACGGTTGTAGACGATACACCCAGCTTATTTGCGGCATCTCGGAGAGAGAGGTTAGGGTTTCGCTTGAAACTACCGGCAACTCTCTTTGTCGTCTCAGCGGCTTCCGGTTTTCGATTTTCCCCCGATCCAGACTTCCTGGCTGTCGACAAACGTTCCCCAAACACTTTAATTACATTTGTAACGGTTGATTTGGCAACTTTTAGCGATTTTGCCAACTTTGCGTGCGAGTAGCTCGGATTTTCGCGATGCGCGAGCAAAATTTTGATACGCTGCTCTTCTTGCTTGGACGGCATTTTGACAACTGAAGAGTGAATTCCAAAATCAAAATAGGAGCAACATTCTACACACACACACCTTCAAAATGAGGGGTGTTCAGGTTTTTTAAATGCAAAATTGAAAGAAATACGTCAAGTTGATATTGACCAAATTTTGACCGTATCACCCTTTAATGCACCATCCGAATGCCCATAAATGCATCACTAAAGGCCTAAGGAAAAGTGGAAGATAATTCTGAGATAGCTAATTAATGATCGAGGAAGGTCCCACCATCATTGTGAATGGCATCATTGCCATAGTTTTAAGTTTCAAAACTAATTTACTTACGCATCTGTTCAATTTCAGCTGGAATTTTACTCATTGTCAGCATAAAGCAAAGAAAGCAACGTTTCACTTTTACGACAATCATAACAAAACCAATAATTATCAGCTATTTATTTCTACCTAAGTTTGTGAATACACTCGCGAATTAACACACACCATCATACACAGGTTCCACTTTTGCTCAGAAGAGGCGTTGCCCTTATTGTCTCCTGTAGAGTCGGTGTATAATGAGTCACGCCAAGAGTGAAGCCAAGTCTACCTATTGAACTGTCAAATCGGCTACCTATCGTGCAAAGTAAATAAACATTTCGATGCTATGAAAGGTCTACGAAAGGTATTGCAATGAAATATAAAATAAAATTGAAGAAATCATCATAAACACGCAGCGAGCATTAAATGGTCATGGGATACGTTTGGTTTTGATCAGTAATGAGAATTTCTACTATTTTTTGATAAGATAATTTGACAAAATCACTGATATTATGATTCACTACAGCCGTTATGTTTGGTTCTCGCTAGAAGTCATTTAAAGTTGATGTAGAAGTCCTCTGTTGCCAAGTGAAAAGAAAGGGAATCCTTCGGAAACCGTGATGCGAGTTCAACTGGTTTTCTCTTGGCGTGACTCATTATACACCGACTCTAGTCTCCTGATTTTCTTCTTGATTTGAAGTCTTCGATTTTTCTCAACCCAAATTACAGCATTTTTCATTGAAAATCTTGCCAATTTCCATCAGTAATTGATAAATTATACGATTTTCCACATTTCTGAATTAATTTGCACCTAAATTATTCACACACAAGAAATCCGGATGATCATATCCACTAAGGTACAATTATAATTTTTCACTTTTCTCAACAAAAATATTCCTGAACACCATCAGGATCCTTGCAAAAATGATACAGAATTCAATTTTTCAACTTTAGACCAAGTGTTGGAGCATCTCAGATCAATCAATTTATCACTCTCTATGAAAATTTGCAATATGCCCATCAAAATATGTATTATTTTGAGTTTTGAAGTATAAACAAACGATTGGGATTACATTTCCACTCAAAATCGCCTATCACACTCTTCATGGATGGCGCTTCAAAGGAGTCTCTATTGTACGCATCGATCTTTCAAAATATTATTTAACAGAACTTGGATATTTAAGAAAAAAATATTATGAAGTTTGTTCTTCCAAAAAAGCTTTCCTTGTCAGTATGTAGAAACCGCTGAATATCCGGAAATCTCCATATTACCATAGAGGTAACTCTAAGACTAGTAGGTGCCGAAGAAACGAACTCTACTTTTGGGGTACGTTAATCGATTTGCTTGGGACCAATAGCTAGTCAAGTAGTGAATCAATTTAAAATCGATAGTTTCGTATTGATTCTTGATATTACCACGCTGGATTACCGTCCCTGGCTAGGAGACATCTATTACATTTGAAGACGAATTAAATGTCGAATTCCTAGATAGCCATTGAAAGAATGTTTTTTTTTTTTCCTTTGGTTTGTTTTCCGTCGATCTTGTTTTCCGTGCTGAGCACCAATGCTACCGACGCCAGGAAGGCAGCTCCCACACCTGGACCCTACCTATCGACTCATCAACTCATGAACCGGGGACCAACGGCTTTACATTCCTTCCGAAGGAAAGCGTGATCAGAGATGTTATGCCTCAGAACATCCCGACGGCACTGACTGGGATTGAACCCAGGCCTGCTGGGGTGAGAGGTAATCACGCTTACCACTACACCACCGGCGCCGCTGTTGAAAGAATGTTGTCATCAGTAATTAAATCCTGCCGAAAACAGTTGCATCAATATTTATTTATTTATTTATTCATTAAGAAAAAGTAATTAGCAGTTACAGAGCATTTTGAAAAGGTATTGTCAATTTATCCTACAATGTGGCATAAAAGCTCAACTGTCATCTTGCTTCCTAATTTACTGATTCAAAGTCGGAAAACAAAACTTAACCGTAAAGTAAAGGGACTGTTAAAAAACTACGCAGATAATCTATATGGACTGTATGGGCCGTAGATCCTCGCCGTCCCTAATGTATCTACGTGGTTTATGAACATCCCCTAACAATAAATTACAGGTCAACTTTTAGGACAGATTCTGAGTAAAGAGTACGATTTTTTTTTCCTGTAAAGCGATATGTTTTTACAAAATAACATAATTTAATTAAATAAGTGTTCTTGTTCGTAACAATTTTGATTTTGTTCCCAGAATTGATCCAGCAGTTTCCACCTAAAAAATACACTACAATTGAGCTTCGCTTTGAATTGGCTCCAACTGACTAATCCTACTGACTTTTGCGGTCATTTGCGTCACTAACTAAGCTCGAGTTTGAAACTCTCTATTGCTCCCACTTCTGTTAAACCTAGACAGTTAAGTACTAGCTACTCTAAGGTTACGATTTATTGGGCAAAAACCCGGATCTCGGAAAAGATTTTTTTTTAACATTCTATTTCTGGCAACTTTCGAACTTTCTTTCCCCCCACTTTCACAGAGGAAGACAGATTTCTATTAGTTTCTATGTACAAAAGATGTTTCTTATTTAAACAAAAAATCATCCTGTTCAAATTCTTCCCTAACGGACAACCATCGCTGCGCGACGTGTTGCTTCTGTGGTTGTGGTTTCCAACGGTGTCGAAATCGTTTTTTGTTTGTGAATTTTTGAAAGAACTACTACAAAAACTAGTTAAGCATTCATTCGCACTCTCATTCGGGGCAATATAACAGAACAAAACCGGCATGACTCGTGATCGCTTTCGTTCTCTAATTGCTAGCATTAAAAAGAAGAAGAAATTTGAACTATGCAGAAGATTTGATCGGCTCTCTCATTCTATCGCAATCAATCGTCTCTCAACAGCCTGCGCCACTCAATTCTTGATATTACTGTAGCCAGAGTTGATCTGCACCCTTCGGTACTTGCTGTTGATCGGATACACGTAGATGGGCTTCTGTTCGGAGGCTTCCGCCTGTTCATCCGAAGCGTCTTCGTCCGCTTCCTCGTCTTCTACTTCGTAGGAAGATTCGTACGCATCCTGGTCCCTGACGGCACCGGCTTCCATCTGCTCGACGATTCCGCTGTCGACGATCGGTAGCTCTTCCAGGTTCTGCGTCTGGGCATTCTCCTCGGCAACCTTGACGAATGCTTGCGACAGTTCACCGTTCAGGTGCGTCACGCCCTTCGTTGCGATGTCGTACATGAAGATCTCCTGGTCGTCATTCTCGTTTCTGCGAAATAGGTCGGATAAAGAGTTAATGGTAAACATATGAATTGATGGCAGACGATCTAAAATCACTACGATTCTTACCTAGTAACAAGAAGGACAACGCTCTGTAGGTCGACTTCGGTTTTACCCTCCCGTTCCAGCCACCGCTTGAAATTCTCCGTCGACGGTTTCTTGATCAACTGCTTCAGCGCTTCCCCGGCAATGAACTTAACCTTCTTCGAATCCAGCAGCGTATCCCGCTCGAACCGGGCCTGTTCGTCCTCCTCAGACGAAGCCTCCGCCTCGGCATTGATCACGAAGCTCTTGTTCGGTTTCAGACTGTCCACCGGTGCCAGAACGACCACACTGGAAATGCGCCTTCCTCGTAGTTCGACCGCATCCGGAATCGGGAACTGCGCTCCGTTGATCTTCAGCGGCAGGTAGCGATTGTAGACCTGATCGTTCTGCTCGTTCTCTCCGGTGGCGATGTCGACCGAAGGCAAAATCGTAGAGTCGTGCTTGATGTACCTGTCGGTGACGTTCTTCTGGCTGGACGAGTCGAATCTCACCACTTTCAAGTCGACATTCTGCTTCTCCGGCATGGTGGCTGGCGGTTGCTCTTCGTAGTTTGTCGATTCACCGAGCACATACTTCACCCGTTTGTCCTTGACGTCGTAGTTTTTGGAGATGAACTTATCGGAGACCTTCTCTCCATTCGGTTTGACGACGGATACGACGTTGCTTGAGCCCGCCAGCTGCGAGGAACCTCCGGAGCTGAAGAAGTTAGCCAGGTGCTCTGCCGGGAGGTTCTCCAGGGCGGTTTCTCCGAGCTTGTCGTAGTCCAGGACGCTGATGTCGGCGTTTTCGAGAATACCGGAGGAAAGCAGATGCTGCCGGATATCGTCCGGAACTTCGTCCGGAAGGTCTAGGATGGCTTTCTGCTTCTTCTCCGAGACGATGCCGCTGGATTCAGTGGGGGAGCTCGTCGGTTTTGGACGCTGGATCGTGGTGGGTCGGGGTGTTGTCGGCAGAATGGGACTGCTTTTCGGGAATGTAGCCGTCGTGCGGGTTCCGAAAGCGGGTTGAGGTTGTGGTTGGTACTGTTGGCGTTGCTGTTGTAGTTGTTGCTGTTGTTGCTGTTGTTGCTGTTGTTGCTGTTGTTGCTGTTGTAGTTGTTGCTGTTGTTGCTGTTGTTGCTGTTGTTGTTGTTGCTGTTGTTGTTGTTGTTGCTGTTGCTGTTGCTGTTGTTGTTGTTGCTGTTGTTGCTGTTGTTGTTGTTGTTGCTGTTGTTGCTGTTGTTGTTGTTGTTGTTGTTGCTGTTGCTGTTGCTGTTGCTGGTACTGTTGTAGGGGTGAGGGGGAAGTTACAAAATTAGAGCTTCGAGTTGGGCCTCCATTCCAGACGAAGTTTGATTGCTGGGCCGGTTGAGGCCTCTGCGGTTGAGTTTGTTGCTGCTGTTGTTGGTAGTTATTGCGAGGGGAAACGTTGATCAGGTGCGAGACTTGATTGGCTAGGCGAAGGCTTTGGTTGATTGGTTCCGAGTTAGGGATGATCTGAGGGGTGGGAAGAGGTTTGCTGACGTATTGCTGTGGTGTTGGAAGAGGAGGAGCAGAGCTCGATTGTTGGGCAAAGGTCTTTGGTGGAGTGGTTTCGTATTGTGGGGCAACAGAGTGGCTGATCAATTCCTGAGACGGTTGGATGTTGAAAACTGGAGTGGAAAAGAAGCTTTGCTTCTTGCCGTCCGATTTGACGTGTTCGGTAATGTGGGATTCGTACTTGGGAACGCTTTGGACCAGTTCACCACCTGCAGGAAGAATATTCCTGAGGTTAGTTTGGTGTTCGGCAGCGGTTGTTCGGTAATCTGGGATTCGGGTGGTTCCTAGATTGGGGGCGGCTTGTTGAACGAGTCCTCCTTGGACAGGACGTGGGATTTCTACGAAGTTACCTCGAACGGCAGTTTGGCGATTATTGTCTGGGAATCGGGACTGCTGAGGTGGCTGGGGTTGAGGTTGTGGTGGAGGTGGTGGAGGCTGGTTGTGGAGTACTGGCTTGGGTGGTTGAATGGTTTGTTGATGTTGGTGGAAGTTGTTGAAGGGTTGGTTGAATTGGTTCTGCTGAGGAGCCTGAGTGTATTGGTGTCTTAGTGGGGGTTGATTGTTGATGTTGTGCAGTGGGATCGGGATGGGTTTTGGCTGGGATTGTTGTTGGAAGTCCTGAGGTTGTGGTTGACGATGTTGCTGAGGCTGTGGGAAGAACTGAGGCTGAGGCTGAGGTTGGGGTTGGGGTTGTGGTGGTGGAGGTGGAGGAGCATTGAAGTGTGCCTGTTGACGAGGTTGTTGGACGTATTGCTGCGGTTGTTGTGGTGGTCCACGGAACTGCTGTTGGGGTTGAACATAGTTACGTCCTTGATCGAAGTGCTGGAAGCGATGGGATGGAGCAGGGAACTGCTGGAATTGGTATTGAGGCTGAGAACGATACAGTGGAGCGGCAGTGGATGGTCCGAAATTCTGAACAAAGTTCTGCTGAGGCTGAGGAGGTTGCTGTTGGTACTGAGGTTGAGCAGCAAATGGAGCGGGAGTTGGGAACGATCTTTGCTGGAGGAACTGCTGATGCTGTTGGTAGAATTGATCAGCTTTGTGTTGACTAGAATGGTGCTGATGTTGGACCTGTGGTTGAGTCTGAGCGTGTGGTTGTGGCAAGTGATGACCTTGAGGCAAAGCTATGACAGGCTGTGCTACACTCTCGCTTTCCGTCTCAGAGACCTGATGTCCAGACTGATGTTTGTCTTCAACGCCGAAAGAAATGCGAATTCCACTGTTGCTATGATAAGTATCAGAATCCGGATTGATGATGGCTCTCAGGGTAGTTGTCTTCTGAGGAGGGCTTGGAGTAACCACAATTGGCTGTTCATGGAGCGAGCCACTTTCGTCGTTATCTTCTTCGCTCTCATCTGGCAGTGGCTTCAAGGCAGGTACTGGCGAGTCCAGAACGATACCGTTCTTGTCGTCCTTGTGATACTTCACGTAGAATACCTGCACCTCTTCCTTCTTCTTCTTGGAGGGAGAAAGCGGTTGATATTCGTAAGGGACTGAATCATTGCTCTCCTTGATGATGATCTCGATGATCGGTTCCGGAGCTTCCAGGTAGACTGGCTGATGATGATGTGGCCCCGTTGGTTGGTAGTTACTGACGGAGTTGGAGACGTCACTCTCGAAACCTGCGGGAAGGACATGAGAAGGATAAAGAGGATCCTGTTCGGAATACTTCAAGAGCGGTTCCATCTGGACCGCGTAGGGAGGAGGTTTACCGTGGTATTGGTGGGGCGGTGGAGGACCGACTAACGACTGTGAGTGATGGACATAGTTGTTAGGGTGGTAGTAGGGTGGCCGGGAGTCTTGGTAGGCGTTCGAGATGCGACGATCCGCTCGATACGGAACCGTCTGGTAGTAGTTGTAACCGTAGTTCCCCAACTCCAAGTTTCGCTTTCCGCGAGCGTCTAGGTTGGTGGTCTCCTCCGAGTTCTCGTTCGTTTCCGTCTTCGAAGTCTCTTCCTTCTTCGAAGCGCTACTGTCCGCGTCTGTCACCTTTGAAGTTGCATTTTGCGCCTCAACGCTCTTATACAATGCCAACACGGCAATCAACTGAAAATACAAAACAAAAGACAATCAGATTAGAGGAAAGTGATTAACCGGAATCCAAAACACGGAGCAGATAGAAACACATGATCCGCTATAATGACAATTATCTTCCATCGCTTCATCCCTCCTAGATACGGGGTCTCTACCAAAGACGCGTGCAGACTTTTAATGCAAGCCAAGTTCAGCCATTCCCCGAAATAAAAAAAAACGTATTACTTTTAATTGGAGGAAATTTGAGTTTATCTACCGTACGCGGTCGGATGGTGATTAAGCGGACCACCCCGCAGGGTGCCATCCACATCATCGTCGTCGACGTCGTCGTCGTCACAGAGGCTAATTAGATGAGTTTTTCCCTCTCTCTCTAACCGTGTTGTCACAGCCATTCCACCGAAACCGACCACAGATTGAGCGTAAACGAAAGCGAAAGGGTTCAACACTTCTTCTACGCACTGTCGTCGTCGGATTTGATATTCGGCAAAGATCTAAATCTTTTACCGCCGCCACAATGAACGGTTTTCGGCGCACCGCCCGCCGGTGATGGCCGGATGAATGAGCCACTAGCCGGACGGACGGACGGACGGACGGTCGGACAGACGGACGTGAGTTATGATGACGGTCCATTAAGTGCGTGGTTCCGTTTTTCATCGTCGTTGGGTGTTTCAAGATCATACGATAGGCATTTATTTTGAGGTGTGTCATAATTGGCCGCAAATGTGCCGTGTCGCGGAGATGCGTTCCGGTATGGGAGTGAATCTGTGACGTTAAGTAGATCAATTATGAGTGAAATGGTGCGTTGGTTGAATTGACTAAATCAGTGCTGATGCATTATCTGAAGCGTATTTCTGTTTGACCTTGGTGCTAAGAATGATCCGTATCGGGGTGCAGTCAACTCTCCATCGGGTTATAGAATTATCGACTTATGTTTATGCTAGTCCATAATTTTGAGGAGAGTCTCAAATTGTTCCGTCTGATATTATAGTATTTGACCATATTCTCACATTTGAATTCGAAAAATTGTTCAAGAACCAATTTCCGGAAAATCTAATTAGCTGAAAGGCTCTGGTTCAGGATAGATTTTTTTCTAGAAATATTATCCTTTAAATTGAGTTTCAAGCCCTCGACGGAATCCCGGCAAGGACTTTTTATCCTAGAGTTCTTGACCTAATTATTGATGTCCTTGAAAGCCTATCTCAAAAGAGATGGAAGGCCGAATAGCGTAAATATATTGAACTTTTGAAATAAATATTCCATGTTTTGAAATAAGACAACATTCAATATCGTTACTTGAAGATTAAATTTTCAAAATTATGTTCCTATCCCATTCAAAATTAAGTTCCAAACATGTTGACTTGATCATCTTTCGGCAAATGTTTATTTTACAGTAACCGGAGCGGCGATCGACTAATTAAAATGAATTATGACAAATAAACTGATTCTCTTTTGGGGTCGTCTTTTATCTCAAATAAATCAAAATAACATGGCAAAGGGCTGTATTTAAATTTTCAAACATTGTAGTACGATTTTGAATATTTTGCTAATGCATGACATGAGAATTGCATATGGGTCATTCCAGCTCAAGTGGGTACAGAATTTTAAAAAGTTGTGGTCGATGTCACCGATTTGAGCCAAACTTAACCAAACGCTTATTTTGGCATTCTGAGCAAACACCTTTTTTATTTTACTCTAAAGTGCCTAGATCCTTCTGGGCTACAACCCTGGATTTTCGAGATTTTTAAAAATGTCAACTTTCAGAAGCGATTACTCCACAACCAAATAAGCTACTCTTGATCTTAGAACATAAATTTAAAGGTTTTGTAATGTAGATTTACATAGGTGTACCCACATTTTGTTTTTGTTATAGTAACTACAGTAAACAGACTGATTACCGGCAGGTATCCACTTTTTAAAAAATTGACCTATTTTCACCATTAACGAGATTTTTTATTTCGTAATATTCTGGGTTCAAATTTTCACCACACTTTGGAAAACTCTTCTACTTGATGAGTTTCTAAGGCAAATGATTTGGGCAAATAGTTTTTGAGATATGACGAAATGAGTGAGTGGTAGTTTTGAGCTTTTCTAGTGGAAAGTCAATGCTATTTAATATTTGTTATTTTCTGCTTGTTCCTACAGTTGCAAACTACTTCAAGCAATTGACTGTCTAATGGCCCCTTTCTATGGATTATACTTAAACATGGCTTTCTTCTGAAGATGAACTAAACTTCCACGATCATTATCAGCCTGGACCGAAATGATTTATATCGTGGCGTACTTTTGGGATCAAAAAATGCTACTCCTTCTATAAAATCTCAATGCCAACTAGGGTAAATGGCTCTAATGTTGGCCTATGGATCTAATATTGGGCCCATCGCTCAAAATCTGCTATTTATCAATTTTATCTAGATGTAGCATTTGTTTATTAAGAACCTTTACGAAATATTAGCTTGCAGCACCCCCTCCCACTCCCATGCTTGGCATGCGCAGTTGTACACACCAATTGCTCATTTGCTAATAACTTTTCACTCAGTTTGTTGAAACTTATTTTCCTTTAAAGTAATTGATAGATTAGGATCATAGTCTGCTATGGATATGCAAAGAGTAGGTAAATATTTACATTTGAATCAACAACAATGAACTTTTACACTTGAAGTCCAAGATGTGCAGCGAGCATTTTTCATTTCACTTTTACAACCTAAAAACAAATACAGTTTATTACTAGAATTAAAATTTACTTTTTTACGTATTTATAACTCTATTCTATCTATTGCTTCAAAAAGAACTATGTTTCGTCAGCTGTGCGCAAAGTTATTAGCGAATGAGCAGTTCGTGACCAAAACTGTGTATGCCAAGCATGCTCACTCGTTTCACCTGGCACGCACCTGGTCCATCGGCATCTCGTCCCAGTTTTTGGAGATGAGCTTCTTAAATTGGTTCCATAGTGCTCACTTGATGTTCGCAGCATGCACGACCAAACATAAAAGTTCAGGGGATTAAGGTTCGGAGAGCTGGGAGGCCACAAAGTCTTATGGGGTGTTTACGCTTATGCTATTTCACTAGCGCTAATGAGCTAGCTGCTAGGTAAAAGCTAGCATAATGTAAACAGGACATCAGCGTCTACCAGCATGAAATTTTAGGAGCAACTGAAATTCGTGCTAGTTGGCGAGTACACTAGCGCGAGTAAATCCGTAAACGTAAACGTCGGCACCCACAGTCGATCATTTTGGTGTGGCTGTTGCAAAACAAAGAGTTTCTCATCAGAAAACACGAAGTCCTAACCTGCGTGCCGCGAAAGTATCAGTTCGGCAGTCGCGGTACTCCTTCATCGTGCGCGGTGAACAAACAGCAAATGACAGCAAGTCGACACCGTGCGCGTCGGTTAGCCTATATATGAGGCTAAAGCTGACACCAATACCAATAAACAGACTGCACATGGTGCGCACCGACACAACGATGAAAAGATGTATTCGAACTTATTGAACACCCTTTACATGCCCCTCCAAGGACTTCCATAAACCGCCGTCAACTTTGGAGTTTAGTTACTATTCTCCCATCTTCAGTTCTAATACTGGGCGATATGAATTTACATGGTACTGGCTGGGGCATAGGATGACAATAGAGCGGGTATTTTCATGATTTGTGCGACAATTTCAACTTGACTATCTTGAACACTGGTGAAGCAACACGAATAGCAAAGCCTCCTTCTCGAGAGAGTCGTCTTGACATATCTTTGTGCTCTAACTCACTTTCATTAGATTGTAAGCTGCTATTCAAAAATTGAAAAATACATCTTCTAGATATTCTCTCCTGTCGGCAGGTTGATCAGCGATTACTTAAATGATCTTGTCAATGATCGAAGGTTTCATAAATGTTCTGTAAAGTCCTCTGGATATTTTTCAAGACTTGTGACTATCAGTATTATTTGGAAGAGCTTCAACTGTTCATCAATTGACCGCACCGGTAGTTGAGTGGCAAGCGTGACAGCTTTCTTACCCCAGCCGAGGTTGTTGGGATGTTTCTGAGGTGAACAAATCTCTGGTCACGTCTTCCTTCAGAAGGTAAGTAACGCCGTTGGTCCCAACCCATACGTTTATGGGTTCGATTGATTCCAGATTTGGAAGCAAAGATTGTACTCGAAAAAAATTCAACACTTTCTTTTGTGTATAACTTTTTGTTACATGGGTAAAAATTGATGAAATTTCTAGTAAAACTAGTTTAGAGTGAAATTTTTACATGTGCAAAATCTCATCACAATCTGTCAAATTGTTAACGAGATGGCTTCCAAGCAAGAAGTGTTTCGACAAAAAAATATGGTGGCGGTCGTTGAAAATCCAGGCCAGTCCCACATGTGAATCGCGAAACAGCTTGGAATCGACAATTCGACCGTGTCCCGTGTGGTAAAATCGTTCAAGGAGACTCAGACGACCTAGCGGCGAGCTGGCAGCGGAAGAAAAGCAAAGACGACCGATGAGACGTACATTAAAACAGACGCCAAGCAGATCCCCAGCCTAGAGTTTTTCGTCGGCAAGTCCCACCTAGATGTTCCGGAGAAGTTCCAGAGAAGTTCCGGAAGAAGAAGGTCGACAAATTTGCCAAGAAGTACTTAGGCACGCAATCTGTGGGTGCGGCATAACGACCGGTACCATCAACGGCCAAATATATAGAGAAGAATGCCTCATCCGGTCACACGAAGGTGTAACTCTGTTTTGGCTGGATCTGGCATCGTGCCATTACGCGAAACTGGTGATGGAGTGGTACGAAGCCAACGATGTTGTTTTTGTGCCGAAAAAGGCAAATCCGCCAAACTCTCCAGAACTTCACCCGATAGAAACATTCTGTGCGATTACGAAGAGCAAGCTCCGGAAAATAGGGAAGGTCTTCAAAAACGACAAGGATTTGAAGAAAGAGTGGATGAAAGTATGTAAGAAAGATGGCGCAAGTGTTGCACAGGATTAGATGGGTAGCGTTAAGTCGGTGCGGGAATTTTACCATAGGAGAGGAGGTTGAATGAA